CATCATATGATAGTTTTTTATTTTTCATTGGATGAAAGGTGTACCTAATTTTTTTACTCCAATGCCACGAAGCATGTGTTTAAAACTTTCTTCTTCCACTCCTCTCCTTCATATCTTTTCACACTCACTTCATATTTCATGAGAGATCCAAGGAGTTCCTCCAATGGTTGAGTCTTGAGATCTTTTGTTTCTTGAATTGCCGTCACCTTTACTTCCAAAACTTTTAGCAAGCATCTAATGATTTTTCTCACAAGGTGTAGAATATGATTACCAAGAGATTTTAAAGCATTGATTACGTTGGTAAATTTTGTAAACATTTCCATAATAGACTCTTGTTGATTGATGTTGAACTATTCATAATCATGAATAAGCATATTTTCTTTGACTCCTTGTCTCTACTTATATCCTCATGAGTGACTTGAAGTGTGTCAAATTCGTTGTATCGACTCACAAGTGCAAATTCGATTGAGCTCATTTCTATCTAATGCACAACACATTGCATTCATAGCTTTTGAATTCCATGAATTCAACTTCTTATCTTCACCAGCCCATTCTTTCTGTGGCTTAGAAGGTCCAATGAAACTTTCTTCAATGATGTCCCACATTTCATTACCCAAAGATATCATATCAATTCTCCTTCTAACTTTCCAATATGAATTATCATTGTCATTAAAGAATAGAGGTATAGAAATAAATTGCCTCTCAATTTCAATCTTTCTTATGGTTTCCATTATCTTAATTCTATTGTGGTTAAACAATAATCTTAGAGCTCTTACTCTGATACCAATTATTGGCCCAAATGAAATCGAAGAATACGGGTGAATTGGTTTGTTTGAATTAATGATTAATTTTTACTATCTTTAATATTCACTAATCATGCAATGTGAAGAATTATGTTATGAACAAGATAATATGAATGGTACAACTGAGTAGCTAGGAAAAATAAAAATAAACAAAATTTATAGAGGTATAGTCAACCTACTATGGCCTACATCCTCTCTTCAACCTTTGCTTTGGAACTTTGTTTCCACTATCTCGATCTTCTTCGACAGATGAAGAGTAAATCTTTACAACAATGTCTTCAAAGGGAAAGACCAACCTTTACAATATTCGTCTTTTGGAACAAGTGAAGACACACCTTCTACAATCTTGATACAAAAATACAACCTTTGAAGCACCTCTCAAGAAGACAAATCTCTCTTTCCGTCAAAGGATTTTTCAATCGAAGCTTAAAACAAGAAAGAATAGAATAAATACACCAATCACTTATAATCTCACTTGCTAGATCCGACAAGATTAAGCACAATGGCTTTCTAAACATTCACAAGTGTATACTCGATGATCTAACCTTTTTTCATCTTTATTCAATATATAGATCACACTTTGTGTAAAACTCGGATAAATTTAAATTTTTTATAAAAAAGGGCAAAATTGTAAATTGTCACTACAGTACGGGTTATAAACCTAAAATTTTTAGAAATCGGATGATGAAATAGACCTCACTGTTGGATTTATCTCGCGAAATTTAGCTACCCCATCAAATTTTATCGAATTCCGAGATAGTCGAATTTTTTACATTTTACGAGGCAATCGAGTCTTGGGTGACCCAAAACGGAATTTTTAATAAAAATTTGAAATTTGAAAAATAATTTAAGATAAATTAAAATAAAATTATTTTAAACTTAAACCGAGATGAAATGAAATCGTTTCGGGGCAAAAACGGTTCGAGGAAAGGAGGGACGTGTGGCACAATATGGGCAAAGTATTCTAAGACAATAAATAGGAAGAAAATCTGATTTTTACCCTATTTGTGTTCAGCCGGTTAGCCGATAGAGAAGAGAGGGAAAAGAGAGAAAGCAATCTACCTGCTCTCTACAATCTACAGAGGTCGGTCGCTCGAATCCACTCGGGGCAAGAACAAAAGTTGATCCTCTCGAAGTGGGCTACAAGACTATACTAAAAATCGAGGAGTTTACCGAAGTTCCAAAAACGGGGTTTGAGAAAATCAAGGGTTTGAGCTTGATTGAAGTTCTTGAAAGCCTTCTAATTGTTCTTTACGCTTCAAGAAGTAGGGTTACTTCCTACTTAGGTGTAAATCTATGGGTTCTTAAGTTCCAAGGTTATAAATGGACTATAATGGAGTACGACTAGTGGTACCTTGCTCCACTGTTGGATTAAATAATAAAATGAACACAGGTTTTACGTGTGGGTTGAAATTCCTGGTAAAGGGAATGTTGTTAACGTGGAGTCGAATTGTGCGACTATCACGGGTATTTTTGCGGGTTGACGGATGATCAATGGTTAATAAATGACCCCCAATTTTAGGGGCGTCACACTTTGAATGTCCAAAAAGTCCCTTTCGACAAACCTCATCATTTCGTTTTACCGTTTAAGCAATTACACACTAAAAATAGGCCAAAAACTACCCATTAGAGGCTACAACGGTCATGACTGATCGACCGTAGCTACGGTCCGGTCGACCATTACAACCTTATGTTATCATCACTTGGATTCCAGCTGTTTTTCTCCCCCTAAAACGTTTGAATCTACGAAATGCTATTCCGAGCAAAGTTGTAAATCCTAGAGCCTTCTTCCGCTACAATAAGAATTAGATCAATCGAATATTCGAGTAGAATGTTATGGTTAAATTACTAAGGATATGTCAATTTTTCCTAATTGACTGAATCTATGCACTACCTCCAACTTGTAGGCCATTTTTAACCCGAAAACATCTGCATTGGAAAATGCCTATTAGAGGCCAAATTGTAAAGCATCAAGACTTTTTTCCAAAACATCAAGAATCAGTTCAATTAGATAGAAAGTTATTATCAAAATACCACGACTATGCCTAATTGATTGCTTAGCATGTTTTTTCCACTCTTTTGTCTTGGTCCTTTCACTCTTCATATAAAGCAATGCATTTGTGTTTCTAACTTGAACAAGCACCCTAGAGATGTGACCTTATACTTTTATCGTTCTTCACTTATCAAGATGAAATCAATCGTTCTTCACTCAAGATGAAATCAACAAAGTTGTTGCATTAGTTTTCTCATGCACATTGTCTTCAATTCTTCACATCTTCGATCATCTAATTTAGCATGTTACCCATGTACATCTTTTTCGATTCTTTGAAGCTTGTGTAACACATTACACATTTAATCTCTCGCATCAAACCTAGGCAACACACTTACAACCTAAGTCACACAAAGATGATTAGTAACATAAAAGTGCTTGGCATCATCAAAACCTTGTTTAACCAAACATAAAATCAACGTAGTCTTTTCCTCCTCAGCTCGACATAATTCTAATTTTCACTCTAATTTTCCATGAAATAGTATGAAACTCAAACCAATATTTTTGAGGTGGAATGTGAGAAAATGCACAGCTTAGGAGACAATGTGAAATAAGGAGTATATTTTAAGGAGTCTGTGTAATTTGCTCTATTTTCAATGACGAATAGAAGATATAAGCACCTCCTCTCTTTTTAAAATTCCAATGGGGTCAAACAGAAACATCGTGTGAGTATTTAAAAACATTATATATATATATATGTGTGTGTGTGTGTATCTATATAATAAAGTCACTTACAATTCAAATCTTAAAAGATAAACAAAATGACTTTTATTATTCGCGATTGAGATCCCTTTAAATTTTATTTTAAAATTAATCTAACAACTAATATAAACACTAAATTTAATAGAAAAAATAGGTTCTTAAAAGTATGTTTGAAATGACTTTTTAAAAGTACTTTTAAAAATTATTTTTCATAAATACTTTTAAAAAAATAGTGTTTGAAACCACCTCCACCACTACCTTTACCACCACCACCACTACCACCACCATCGTCGTCGCCACTACTCCCACCACTGTCACTGTCTTTGTCAGTGTCCCCACCACGCCGATCGCCGCCGCCGCCACCTCCCTCACCGCCCCCGCTCCCGCCATCGTCGACGCCGCTGCCACTGCTGCCACCACCACCACAGTCATTGACACTCACCACAACCACCACCGTCATCTACTACCACCACTGCCACACACCATCCCTCACCCCCACTACAAATCGATACTTAAATTTCTTTATCTCTTCTCTATGTTTACGATTTGATTTTAAATATGAATACAAATATGTTTATTGTTTACTATTTTTTATTACTTTGTTCATTCAAGTACAGGTAATAATTAGTATATATATATATATATATATATATATGACATTAAAGTGTGTCAGTGGAACCCGCTCACAAGGTGGAACCAGTGAAGAAAGATTAAAATGGGAGAGAAAAACAATATTGGCAAATAAATTGAATAAAAACAGAAGGAAAATTAAACACGGCATGTATATGGATAAACTATGCAAGTTTAAGAGACGTGTAGAGAATTACCTTTGGTCGCAACCTAAATAGCTACAAGAGATTCTTAAGTTTGATTGTAGTACTAGTTGTTAGTGAAGAAAGAATATCGAAAAAGTTTAAGAGACGTAGTTCTCCTAAGGTTTAGGTTTTGTCATGTACTTCAGATGGACCAGCTTAGCTCATTGTGTAAAACAATAAACTGGTTTCCTTTATTTTATTGGGAACCCCTACAATTTTTCAATATGGCATGGTGACATTGAGACCCCAATAACAGATAATGTCAATAAAAACAACTTTTTAATCCTCCAATTTTACTGGTCAAAATCAAATAAATAAAAGTTAACCTAAGCCTATATGCAGATCCACGCCTATACCCATACCCAACCCAACCCAACCCAACCCATATCCATACACACAATAAACATTGCTCCATTTTTTGCATAAATCTCTCTCTCTCTCTCCAAACTCCCTTTATCGTCAACGCCCTGCCCTTACCTCCACAGCCCATCTCACCTACCATCCCAGCATACGTACCTCCACAGCTCATCTCACCTACCACCCCAGCATAGCCTTTGCCCCCATCCCCACGCCGCAGTCCCCCCTCACCTCCACAACCAAAATGACAATAGATCGGTCACTAATGAAGTTGTCACTTGATTATCAATCATCATATACCGAAATAGGGGAATGATATTAATGTTATTTTTCAGTTGGGAAGGGGGGGGGGGGTAAGAATCTATAATTACATGAAACATATGATCAGTCCTCTATTTTCCATCTTTCTATCACAAACTTGGACTGCTCATCCCTTCTCCTGACCTTCAAAACAACGAGGTATTAGTCTTTACCAATGTTAGAGACCTGAAACAATAAAACAATTAAAGGATTCAACAAAAGGTTGACGTCACCTACAATAGCTTTTTGTTTACTTTGAGTATTATTTTGCTCTCTCTTGCTCCTCTTATAATCGTATATAATTAAGTAAAAGAATCAATATTAGATTTGGAATCATTAAAGAATTAAGAAAATCATTAAGATGATATTGAATTTAAAACATTAAAAAAATTAAGCAAATAAAATTGATGAATTTTGTAACAGAAAAATAGGTAATTAAAACTATTATACGCTTTTCGAAACACTATATTTTGTATGTTTTAGTAAATCAGTACGTTTAAGTTAATTGCATAAATATTATTCTCGTTATAAAGGGAAAAAGTGGAATTCAAATCGATTGTGTACTTGTTTGAGATTATTTTCTACAAAGTAAGACTAACTGGTCATGAAGATGGTTAAAATGTTCAACAAACCAACTTTTATGGAAGCATCTACTGTTTTGATAAAGTATAATTTATACGTCCAAGGAAATATTATCTTATTTAATAATCCTACTCAAGAAACAATCAGGTATTAGTATCCTCTGAATTTGGAACAACTTCACTCTCAATCTCCCAATTGCAAATAACCACAAAAGGGCACAAGTGAATGTGAAATAAAATCACATTAGAGAGGATTGACATATTTTAGTAAAGCACAAAAGAGCAAGATGAATACAGAGCTCAGGACAAGGACGGAAATATGCTTTCTTGTTCATAATAATAGATTAGCAAGACAAAACGGAGCAACCTAAAAGGTGTCCTTGATGTGCACACTACTCCAACATTGCTTTCATAGCTCTTGATAGACTAATGGTGTGTTTGGAAAGATGAGCTTCCTAGAATAATGATTCTCGAGTCCGAAGGATTCCTTTATGTCGAATCAACTTTGGAATGTCATACTCAAAGGATGCAAGTCAATACTTACAGAACTCAACAGCGAGTTTTATCAAATGCGAGGGAGGATGACACAAAGCATAATAGAACATTCCGGAAAAAAAAAAAAAAAAGGCACAAAGAACAATAACAAGAACAGAGGCAAACCGCCTTGGACATTCTATAGTAAAGTTCTAGGCCGAATGGAGTTTTATTTTATGGTAATATTACATTAGAATGGTTCGTATATATCTTCTTTTAATTATATGAAGGGTGATATTGTCTAACTTGTCGAAGAGGCTAGATGTCAAGCACCTAAACACGATCGGATAAATTTCTCAAAAGACAGTGGGGGGTGAGGATGTCGCAATTATGCAGGAGTTTCTGCAGTGTTGGAGATTGCATTAAATGAGGAATGGTGCAAACTAAAAGGATCAAACTAAGATAGTGTTTCACAATCCTTTCAAAACCTTAAACAAAAAACCATGTGTACTATGAATGTGACAGTTTGAGGAAGGGGATGGCACAATTATAATTTTTTATTATGAGGCCTAATTTAGAGTGCATTGTTCTGTTTGCTAGCAGGACAGTTCTAAATTCCATCAGAACCAGCCAAGATGACTCATCATTACAGTGTACTAGTGAAAGACCAATGCCTGTGCTTCACTATGGAAAATTGAGAAGTACAACTTTCACAGATAGGTTGTGCTTAAGGAAGCTGCCTTCATTACTCATTGGTTAAGGATTATGATGCCCTAGTTCATAATCTCTTGGATGTCGAGGGGTACACCTAAAGGAATTTTGGTTTGGCGGGTGGATCGACTAGCATTGGCACTCTATCATTGCTGAAATACAAAAATGGACAGAAAAATGGTAGGCTCAAACACCCTGACATGACTAATTTCAAGAAAGTAGGAGATAAACTTGAGCATATTTATGTGTTGTGTGTGTGTGTTAGTTTCATTAATTAAGATCAACCAACACTTGGAGAATTTGAAAACGAAGCACAACAAAGAACATTCACAGAATGTTTGCCACTGGTACTACAAATCCCTAATGATACCAGTTTTTCCAATTATGGTCTTTCTTCATCCTACAGAGTTCATTGCATGCTTCACTAGTTCTATCTTTTGTATGAGTTCAAATTTTTATGAAAAGAATTTTAAACATGTTTAGTAGTGTCCAAAACGATTGCAGGAGAGTTAGAGTAGTGTCATACCTGATGTGTATCACGTCCTACACCATGTCAAACATGGATACAACTCTTCTTAATATGTGTCCATGCCTCACAACCTCTAAACATGGAGCATTTTCTTATATCTTTTTCCTTTGGAACCTATCCACATGTCTTGACCGGGTTGGTCATTTCTTACATCACTTTTCATGATTCCAATTGGCATACATTTATAATACATAGAAGTTTTTGCCCTTCTCTATTCACAGTAAAGTCCTTTCGCCACCAAATGAAGGTAAAAGGAATTTGTTGCCCTATTCTATTCACATTCTCTAAGCGAGTTTGTATCCCACATTAAATGATTAGAATCACCAACGTTGATGAACATGCTTAAGGGGCCTCTCCACTCCTTGCCAAATGGTTTTGAGTTGAGGGCTCTAACATGGTATTAGAGTTGGGTCTTGGGTGGTCAGTGAGTCAAGTCTTTTACCCATTTAAACTTCTCGGTATGCATGTTTGTGTATCTGTTTGTTATCCCCATGTGCAAACTCACGTCCCACCTGAGGGAGGGTGTAAAGGGCCTGTATCCCACATCGAATAATGATTAGGTTGGTTTATATGCTTAAAGGGACTTTTCATTCATTACCAATTAGTTTTGAGTAGGATGCTCTTAACACATTCACAAACACTTTCATCACCGAAACAAGGGAAAATCCACAACATAATAAACAAAATTACCTCAACCAATGGCTTTTTCCCACAAAGAAACAAATCCACACTCCTTTCTGTCTGCAAAAAGAAAGAAAACAAGGAAGCATGAACAGGACAACGTAAGTTACGTTGCATATAAATAGCTTTTCTTTTTCCATATGAAGCACGGATACTGTCGAGAAGGTGACGTATCCGTGTCGAACACCAACACTCTCGAATACGTGTCCAATACTCTTTTATCTATGTCCATAATTAAATAAAAAAATTTTAATTTCGGATACGTGTCTACTACTAAACACTAAATATGTGTTGAAATGTGATTAGCAAAGTTTAAAATTGATGATTATTGACTATTATGATGATGCTTTAATCTAAAAATTCACGCGAATGACTACACATAAGATTTACTTATCATAAAATACTGAATCTTGGATGAATTACATATCATTCTCACTATATTTGTGTTAAATTATATAATGTTATATATAAAATATAATTTTTTGTAGTATTCCCAACGTATCATGTCTTACTTTTTTTAGAAATGTTGTGTCTGTATTCGTGCTTCTTAGCTTTTTCCTAAAAAAGATTCTCATTTATTTTCAAAACTTAGTTGGAAAACTACAGCTTCCCGAGACAATCATCTATAACCCCAACATATGTAAGAACAAGGTACACATCCCTATCTAAGTAAATGATCCAAATAGACCCATGGCTTGTGACCAAATAACTTTGTAAAGCAGGTAGTTGCAAAGCTAGCTCAAATTCTTTCCAATTGATACCTTCAGTAAAGTATCTTCTAGAAAAACATATTTGGTGTTTTTTTTCTCTTCTTTATTTCTTTCTCTTTTTTCTGTATGCCCCCCACCCCCTCGCTCTCTTTCCATCTTGCATTTGGGGTGAGGTGGAGAGGAAGGCATTTTGGACAAAATATTAAAGGAAGCAAACGAATTAGGAAGGAAAAAATTAAAAACAATTCTTTTGCTATTGTTAGCATTATTAGAATCTCCTACTCTCTTTGCTCTTCACTAAGCAAGTTTATAAATATTTTTATGTCCAGTTTTTATACCTGGTTTCTAAGAAAGGACAGCATGTCCTTAATGCTTTAATGCTTTAGACTTGGCATCTCTGATTGCTTCCTTTTTTGGGAATATTTGTATCTTTCCAAATTATCCTCATTTCTAGCCTCTTACTTTTGTCTGCGCTCAAGTTTGCCATAATGGAATGGTGCAACACTATGCAATGCAAAAATACAACTGAATAAACATTTAACACAAACTCCAATTTGTGTTATTGAATAGCAGAACCACTATCCCCAGATTAGTCCCAAATATATAAAAGGGGATAGTTTCTTTCATTTTCTAAGAAAAATATTATATTTTTAGTTCTTATAATCCAAATTTCCTTTTAAAGGAATTCCACTCAACAAACTGCCAAATTGACCAACTTACCCAATGCGTAACCCAGTAGTGCCTCTCCCTCATTTCAATCAAAAAAGGAAATGTTGGAGGAGCTTTCCTCTCAAAAATGCTTTTCTTAGAATTTCTAGTTCGGGCTTCCTGATCACCTAAAGTGACAGTTTCTACTCCTCCAATCTGTACATTTGACAGCAAAATTCATCAGAGGATATCACCCATTTCATTCAAGATAGTGCACAATTACAGAAATTAGTATCTTGCTTCAATATTTCACTTTGCCAACTCCATGATGTTAGAATTGATCAAAAAGACAAGAAAAGAGAAAGAAGATAAGAGAAAGAGAAAAAATATTAATAGACTAAAACAAATCTATAATCCTCATTAACTTGGAAGTACACAAAGTGAGCCTTATATAATAGGGCAACATAACATAAAGTAAATGCCTAAAGTACCCATACTATTAATAATTTAACACCCCCTCTCAAACTCGTGATTATCAAAGAAAACTAGGGTTTTCTTTAACTAAGATAGGCAATCTTCTAAAAGGATATGTTTTTTCTTTTATTTAAATTCTATTGTATATATTTAGATAAGATAAAGTCGAGCAGTTTAGTTAGATTCAAATTCAAGTAGTTTAGTTAGATTCAAATTCAATTTTGTAACTCTAGAACAATGGTATTTTATTTAAATGAGAAACAGATACCTCGAGGGGGTACTTTGGCCAATTATGATCAATACTTGACATGGTATTAGAGCAGGTTCCTAATTACCGTGCCTCCCTAAAAAAATTTTTTTTTTTCCTTCTTGGGTCTTTTGGATTTCTCAGTTTCGGCAACTTTGTGGTGTTAGAACTCGTCAGTGGCTTCTCGGATTCTGTTTCAGCACCTCTTGTTTTTCAACTACCTTAGTTTTTGGTATTCAGTTTCGTGGGCTCTCTACTGTTGTGGGTCTCGGCTTCTGTTTTTTTTGGCTCTCGGTACAGACCCAATATTTCTGTTCATATATTAGTTTCTTTTTTATCTCAGATTTCATTTATTTGCCATGGATTCCACTACCGTATGTATGAAATTTACGGGAAAAAATTACGTTACTTGGGCATTTCATTTTGAGATTCTTGTCAAGGGTAAAGAGCTCTGGAGTTATGTTGATGGCACTATTCAAGCTCCTGAAAGTGCAAAGGAATTATCTACGTGGGAAAGTAAGGATGCCAAGATCATGTCTTGGATCCTCGGCTCTATGGAGCCCCATATCATTCTTAATCTACACCCCTACAAAACTTCCAAGCCTATGTGGGAATAATTGAAGAGAATTTATGCTCAGAATAATTCGCGCAACGTTTTCAATTCAAATTTGAGATGGCTAATTTTTCTCAAGGTGACCTCTCAATGGAAGCATTCTATTATGGTTTTTCAAATCTATGGGCTGAATACACTGACATTGTGTATTCCTCTGTCTCTGATGCTGGCCTTCCTCATGTGCAAAGTATGCATGAAACCAGTAAGAGGGATCAAATTTCTTATGAAACTTCGTCTAGATTTTGACTCTATTCGTTCTCAATTGATGAATCGAGATCCAGTGCCCTCTCTTGATGATTGTTTGGGTGATTTGCTTTGGGAGGAGCAAAGGTTACTTACTCAGAGTACAATGGAACAACTGGTTCCATCTCCTACTCAGGTGGCGTTTATAGCACAAGGAAAATCCAAGGGCCAAGACTATAGCACTACACAATGCTATAGTTGTAAAGGCTTTGGACAAATTGCTACTCACTGTCCAAAGAAATTTTGCGACTATTGCAAAAAATCTAGCCATATTATCAAAGATTACACAATCCGACCTCCTCGAAAACAAGAGCGCACCTATTCCACCTCGATTGAAGTCTCAGGTGCATCCTTGTCTACAGCTCCTGCTACCACCACTCATGCTTCAGTACCTACTGGTTCCAGTTCCACTACTCCTACTCCAAATTTGGTCCAACAAATGATTATTTCTACCTTTTCCGCTTTGGGCATCTCAGGTAAACCAAAGTCATTCCCTAATTCTTGGCTCATAGATTCTAGTGCATCAAATCATATGACTAATAATCCCAGTTTGTTACATAATCTTCACTCTTATGATGGTCCTCTCAAAATACACACAATAAATGGTAGTTCATTACCAATTTCTACTATTGGTGATGTGTCCCCTCTCATTCACAATGTGTTGGTTTCTCCTCACCTTTCCTCCAGTTTACTTTCTGTTGTACAACTTGTTGACAATAATTGTAATGTCTCCTTTTCATCTTTTGGTTGTGTTGTGCAGGATCAAGTGTCCGGGAGGATGATCACGAGGGGTCCTAAGAAGGGTCGGCTATTTCCGTTCAATCCCAGTTCAGTTTTTGTTGAGTCTAGAACTTTTATTTCTTGTAATGCTGTCAAAATAAGTACTAAAGATTGGCATCGCCGTTTAGGGCATCCCAATCTTAATGTACTCCAAACTTTGTTTAAATCTAGTGCAATTGATAATAAAAATTCTGAGTTGATTGCAATTGAGTTCTTTTGATTGTACTTATTGCAAACTTGCCAAAAGCAAAGTGTTACAGTTTCCACAACATGGTTCTCATGCTTCTCGAGTGACATAATTCATAGCGATGTTTTGGGTATCTCCTATTATCTCACATGCTCACTATAAATACTTTGTTACTTTTATTGACGATTATAGTAGATTCACTTGGATCTATTTTTTTCGCACTAAAAGTGAAGTATTCTCTGTTTTCAAGGCTTTTCTAGCACTCATTCAGACACAATTTGCTTCCTCTATCAAGGTCTTACGATCCGATTCTGGGGGTGAATATATGTTTAATGAATTTCAAAATTTTCTTTAAGAAAAAGGTATTCTGTCTCAATGTTCTTGCTCCTCTACCCCCCAACAAAATGGGTGAGCATAAGAACCGACAGTTACTTTGTAAGGTTCAGGCCCTTCTTATTGACTCATTAGTTCCACCTCATTTTTGGTGCGAGGCATTAGCTACCGTTGTCCATTTAATTAATCGATTGCCTACACCAGTTTTACACAATATTTCTCCCTATTCCATACTGATTGGTCACACACCTAATTATTCTGATTTGCATATATTTGGTTGTGTCTGATTCATTCATCTTCCACCGCATGAGAGACATAAATTGACTGATCAATTTGTGGTGTGCTTTTCTTGGTTATAGTTTAACTCAAAAATAATTTCTTTGTTACGATCCTAATACTCGAAGAACCCGAATTTTCAAGAATGTTTTGTTTTATGAGAAGTAGCCATTTTTTCTCTCATGTCGATCCTATTTCACCTAGTTTTTCAATTCTTCATGATGAGCCCGAGTCCTTACCTATACAAGATTCTGATACATCTTCTACTCCAGTGGCTCGATTTAAACCTGGTCTTGTCTACACTCGATGCATCGCACCCCTTTGGTCGACTCTTCTATGCCTTCTCAAGATTCTCCTCCTCCGACACCTGATCCGACATCCACCACAGCTTCTGTTGTACCTGTTCCTCGAAAATCTAATCATGTCTTTTTCCACCAGATTGGTATGGCTTTTCTGCCCCTACTTCTATAATTGCTACATTATCTTTCATTGCTATATCATCTTCTTACAAGCAAGTTGGGGAACATGAGTGTTGGGAGTAAGTGACGCAAATAGAACTAGATGCACTTGCAGATAATCAGACTTGGGATGTGGTACAATGTCCTCCTTCGATTAAGTCAATTGGTAGCAAATGGGCCTACTCCGTCAAGCTTCATTCTGATGGTTCACTAGAACGATACAAAGCTCGATTGGTTGCTTTGGGAAATCGCCAAGAGTATGGCATAGATTATGATGAGACCTTTGCTCCAGTTGCCAAGATAACTATTGTTCGTCTGTTACTTGCTCTTGCTGCTTCTTAATCTTGGCAATTACGACAGATGGATGTCAAGAATGCTTTCTTGCATAGGGATCTAAAGGAAGATATCTACATGACACTCCCATCTGGTATGTCTATTTCATCCCCTACAGCTGTTTGTAAATTGAAGAAGTCTTTCTATGGTCTCAAAGAAGCTCCTCGAGCTTGGTTTGAGAAATTTCGCAATACTTGCTAGAATTTTCTTTAGAGCAAAGTAAGTACGATGCTTCCTTATTTTTGCACAATGGGGATGCTGGAGCAATATTTTTGTTGGTATATGTAGATGATATTATCATCTCTGGTTCGACGGCCCATTGATTCAAAAACTTCAGCAACATCTTCATAATGTGTTTCACATGAAAGATCTTGGTGATCTTACCTACTTTCTCAGGTTAGAAATTAGGTCTTTGCCACATGGTTTATTTCTCAATCAACACAAGTATATTCAAGATTTAATTCAGTTAGGGAGATTGGAAGATACTACTCCAGTTGATACTCCTCAAAAGGTGAATGTTAAGTATAGGAAAGACGAAGGCAAACTTCTCCCAGATCTTACCTTATAACGTAAGTTGGTTGGTAGCTTGATTTATCTCACCATCACGCGTCTTGATATTTCTTATGTTGTCCACATTGTTAGTAAGTTCATCGATTCTCCCCAACATCTCCATTTTGTAGCGGTTCTTTAGATTATTCGCTATCTACTTGGGACTCCTAATCGTGGACTATTTTTATCTAAGGGTTCTACCCTTCACTTGACCGCCTACAGTGATGCAGATTGGGCTGGTTGTCCGGACTCTCACCATTCTACTACTAGATGGTGTGTCTTCCTTGGGGACTTTCTTATCTCTTGGAAGTGTAAGAAGCAAGACTGTGTATCTAAATCATCTACAGAAGCTGAAGATCAGGCAATGTCTCATGTATGTACATAAATTGTGGTTGCGTGGCATTCTTTCATAACTCGGATTTGCATAGACACATCCCACGCCTCTTCATGGTGATAATACAAGTGTCATGTAAACTGCAGCCAACTCAGTTTTTCATGAACATACAAAGCACATCGAAGTTGATTGTCACTATATCCGAGATGCTTAGGAGTCTAAAGCCATCATTCTCCCTCATATGCCCACTGAACACCAAGTAGTTGATATCCTAATAGGATATGTTTTATCTTGTATTGAAATTCTGTTGTACATATTTAGATAAATTAAAGTCAAGTAGTTTAGTTAGATTCAAAATCAAGTAGTTTAGTTAGACTCAAATTCAATTTTGTAACTCTAGAACGATGTTATTTTATTTAAATGAGAAACAGATACCTCGAGCGGATACTTCGGCCAATTCTGATCAATACTTGACAATAATGAGGCGAAAACATCAAAAATTTGCTAAGAAAAAATCATAAACGTGCTATGGTGTGAGATTTCGTTAAAATATCCACTATCTACATTGTGGAAGGAAGAAAGCGGAGAATGATGGTGCCCCACTGAAGGTGATGGCATACAAAATGGCAATCAATCTCAATGCATTTTATGCGCTCATGAAAGACCGAGTTGTGAGTAATCTGAATAGCACTAGTGTTGTCGCAGAACATAGGAGTAAGAAAAGATATCAAAATGCCACGATCAACAAGGAGTCATCATAACCAGACTATCTTAGCTCTGGTTTATGTCATATCACGATACTCAACTTCAGTAGAAGAACAATTAATAATAGTTTTTTTTTGCTTTTCCTAGAAATAAGAGAATTCTCAAAAAAAAAAGACAGAAACTAATGGTGGACTTGCGATCCATACAATCAGCAACCCAAGTAGCATCGGAGTAAGCCCTGAGTTCCATTTATGAGTGAGAAAATAGTAAACACTAATGCTGAGTACCATAGAGATACCGAAGAATACAAAAAATAGCACCCCGATGAACAGTGATGGGTGAGACGACAAACTGACTCACAATATGAATGAACCGCATAAGAGATATCTGGACGAGTGACTGTAAGATATACCAAACTCCCAACAATAATGCGATAGAGGGTAGAGTCAGACAAGGGAGTAACATCAGAAGAAGAGTAACAAAAATTGAGCTCCAAAGGGTTTGCAAATACCCGAGATAAACAGGCTCGTTGAATAATATCTGAGGCATACTTAGACTGAGAGAAAAGATAACCTTTAGAAGAAGCAATCACAATGCCCAAGAAATACCTTAGCTGCACCAGATCTTTTATCTCAAAATGGTCTTACAACTGAGTTTTCAATAAGCATATACTAGCAATATCATCACCCGTAATAATCATATCATCAACATATAGTAAAAAAAAATATAACCGAAAAATATAAACTGTAAAAAGAGAGCAAAATCATGGTCATTGGTGCAAAAACCCAAAAAATTTGGCAAATCATGCTCTAGGAGCCTACTTAAGGTCATATGAAGCTTGGTGAAGTTGACATATTTGACCAAGACTATGAGACAATCCAGGAGGAGTCATAAAAACCTCTTTACTTAAATCTCTATGAAGAAATGCATTTTTTACATCCACTGAGACAAACTACATTGACGAATAGCAGCAACTGCAATCACAGTACAAATAGTGGTTATCTTCGCAACAGGGGCAAAAGTCTCATCATAATCTACGCCATACTCCTGAGCAAAATCCTTGGCTACTAATCGAACTTTATACCGTCCACAGAACCATCAGACTTGATTTTTATCTTATAAACTCACCGACCAATGGTGCGTTTACCAAGTGGTAAAGACACTAGCTCCCAAGCTCTAGGCTTATGCAAGGTAGACAACTCCTCATCTATAACCTATTTCAAAGTAGATCAAGTAAAGTCTCCTTGCAAGAGGTGGGTTCAGATAAGGAGTGAATAGAAGTAAGGAAAGAATAAAAGTTAGAAGAATAACAAGTGTTACTCTAACCAAAGTTGTCTAGATATTTGCAAGAGCACTGAGGATAACATGAGGTATGATCCACAGTGTCTGAACATAATTGAGTGGCAAGAGGAGATAGAAGAGACACCGCATCCATAGAGAAGATAGTTGGAGTCCAACGAACATATGTATGCACAATAGAGGGACGATGAACAGTCAACTCAGATGGAGAAGGATCTGACAAAGTGAATCACCAACATATGTGTCATGAGAAACATCAGCAGGAAAATGATCAATGTATAGCAAGTCGACTTATTCATTGGAAAAGAACTAGATGAAATTGAAAAGAAGAGAATATGCTCCATAAAGACAACATGACGAGAGACAAAATTTGTTGGTAATAAGATCATAGCAACGATACCCTTTTTGACTCTCACCATAACCAAGAAAGACATAAAGTTGAGCGAGTAAAAAATTTGGTACGAAGAACATAGGAAGCAAAACAAAACAAGTACAACCAAACATACGTAAAGAAAATAGTTAGGCGGCTTACCACAGTTTTTCAAATGAGGAGACTCCAAAGGTGCGATCAGGAAGAATGCAATTGATCAAATGAATTGCTATAAGAACTACTTCCCCCAAAAAGAGCTGGAAAAGTGTCCTAATAAGAGAAGGAAGCGCGCTGCCTCTAGAATATGACGGTGTTTACGTTCGGCAACACCATTCTACTCAAGTGTGTCAGTGCAAGATGATTGATAAAGTGTACCATCAGATTTCAACAGATTATGAAAAGAAGAAAGATTGTATTCACTTCCTTGATCACATCGAAAACATTTAATAACAGAGGAATATTGAGTCTGGACCATGTTACAAAAAGAAGTTAAGATTGAAAAGAATTTAGACAATGTTTCATCAAGAATACCCAGCAGTACCTTGTACAATCACCAATAAAAGAAACAAAATATCTTGACTCTCCTTGTGTGAGAACAAGAGTCGGTTTTAAACGTTCGACACGAGATTTCCATCCTTGCACGAGAAGCTCAAAATCGGTTGCATGCCCACAAAATGCAATAAAATCCACCATCTTGTAGTGCAGAAATGGACTTTTTGTGGCCTGCCGGACTTTATTTTGTCTCATTATAGGTTTCTCGAGCTTCTATTTTATAGGTCCATCAAACTTTAACTTTATTTTCAATCTTTGCAAGCATGGACATGCCTCAGTCACAAATGCGAGGAAAAGGATGCTTGGTCATTATGTGCAGGAACGTGTAATTCCAAATACTTGAGATTACTAAATTCAAGAAATTCTTTGAGGAAGGAGTACACTCATCTGGGGAACCATGAGCTTCAGGATTAATGCAAGTGCCTCTAGCTGAAAAAGATAGGGCAAAAGCTCACCAAACTGATCCAAAACTAAAAATTTACAGTAACTGCTGCCAAAAGATGCCTCGGGAAGCTGGGGGACATTCTTTAGAGGGACACTTGTTCTTCTCCCAAAGTAAGTAAAGGCCATGAGATTTGTTGCAGAAATCTCATCATGCTGCAATGGGGGGAAAGCTATAAGTCTCTAAGAACTTCAACTTAGTGAAGGCCCATCAATCCTTAGATTAACCAGTGTTCGAGCCATGGACATGTAAATGATCAAACAATGGGCAATTGGACAAGAAGAACAGAAGAACCTCTTCAGTCACATTCATAGCAGGCAGAGGGCTCTTAGGGTATTAAAGTTGGAATAACCTAGATGCCCCAATGGAAAAGTGCAGCACTTGTGCTGACAATATAGTCACCATGATGTGAAGTCCAACTCGGGACTTTGAACCCTCTTTTTTATGGCATAGTTAATCCATCAATCAATATCAATGGAGTAGCATTCGTCCAAATCAAAAGAAACTCTGAATCCATCTAAAGTCACACCCTGATGATGGGAATCAATGACTTGATTCACCCAACTTACAAACTAAGTTTTTCAAGTTCAAGTGATTTGCTTCCCGGTACCATCTTTGAAGCCTAAAAACCAGAAACCCAGTGAAATATTTCCACATATTTTCCCATCTACATGAAACATAACTAGTTCTTGTAGCTTCTTTCATCGTCAAGCATGACAAAATTATCAGCAGAATGTCATCAGGAAGTTCACTAAGCAGATCCATATGTTTGCCATAGGATGATTAAAGATGCACCATTTTCTCTATTTTGCTAAAATCATTAAATTTGATGTAGCTTTGTGTGAGCGTCAGTGTAGAGTGGTAGGTAGCTAGAATAGCTGTCAAGCTATAGAATAGGTCGAGGCATTTGTTTCTCATAAACCTCTTCTTCTAGCTTTGAGAAGTATGCTAAATCTCACTTTGTGTCTCTTTTTTTTCCTCTCAAGCCCCTTGGATATTTTGTTTTAGTTTGACTACAATGGTCGGGAAACTATTATATCAACAAAACATGTCAATACAAATTCAGATTGAACAAAAACTTTTTAAATTTACAACCATGACTAAGACGGATCATCACGTTGTAGTGTTACATGAGACAAAGAAGTTGGTTGACAAAAGAATTGTGTCTAGTTTTTGGGTTATTAAATTTAATGATTGGGCTTTTTTACCTTCATGCGGTAAATCAGGGGGTTTGGTCATAGAGTGGGATGTGAGGATTGTCTCTACGGTAATTTATACTCATTCGATTCATTTTAGAATGAAGGATGGGTTAGAGTGGCGGTTGTTGGGGGTCTATGGTTCTAATAGCACTAGGTTAAGGAAGAACTTTTGAGGAGAATTAGCAAGGTTATATAGTTTATGTGGTTCTAAGTGATGTTTGGGGGAGACTTTAATTTGCAAAAGAACTAGAAGAATTAGTGATTTTAATGATTTTATTAGGGAAACTAGTTTGAGAGATCCACCTTTGGGTAATACTTCATGTATTTGGACTAATTGAGGGAGAATATTGTTTGTTGAAGGTTAGATACGTTTTTACTCACACCAGATTGGGAGGAGTTTTTCCTACTATAAGACAAGAAACTCTAATAAGAATTCTATAGGATCATTTTCCTATTGTTCTTGATTTGAATGCTTTTAAGTGGGGTTCAGGTTAAGAATATGTGGGTGGAGCATCATATGTGTAAACAGAATTTTAAGAGTAGGTCAAGGCTCAAAATTTTGTTTCAGTGTATTATTTTGGTCAGTTAGGAAACGAAAATGTTTCAGAGATGTTTCGGAAACAACATGAAAACAAATACAAATTTCGAACGTTTATTTCTAAAAAATTCTGAAATATTGGTCAAAATATACCAAAATATACCAAAATACCTCGAAATATTCTAAAATAATGGTAAAAACAAGTCAAAACATCTCAAAACACCTTAAAATATTCTAAAACACCTTGAACCAATAGAATTTAGATTTCATCACAGTTTCGTTTTGGTCCTCTTGGAAATGAAAACAAAATGGTCATTTTAACCATTTCGAAACAAAATTTTGATCCATAGAGCTAGTGGCAACCGAGTGTGGTTCAGGGTTGGGAGAGATTTAAATTCATGAATAAGTTAGAAAAGGTGAAGCAGAAAGTTAAGTTTTGAAATAAAGAAGTGTTTCTGACGTAAGATTGGAAAAATGTATGATTTTGAATCATACTTCTAAGATTGATAGGATGGATATAGTGGGAGGGAGATTTAAATGGTCAATTGAGAAAGAAGAGATCAGAGTTAGGGAGTATATTTGAGGAGGTGATGTTTAATGAAGAAAAGGTTAAGGTTAAACGGGCTAAAAAGGGAGATAGCAATTCAAAAAAAAAAAAATCAGAGCTGCTAATGGTAGAAGAAAAAAGAACTTTATAAATAAGCTTGAAATTGGTAATGGTCTAGTGATTGAGGATGAAAAGAGCATTGAGAAAAAGAGTAGTAAATATTTTAAAAATCTTTATTTTACTCGAGAGGAGTAGGGGTCGAAAATAATGGGATTGGGTAGATATCCTATTGGGGTTCATAAATCTAGTTGGTTGAAGAGACCTTTTGAGAAGAAGGAAGTAAAAGATGTTGCTTCTAAGTATTTCAAAGACAAATCTCCTGGATGTTTTTTCTATGGCTTTGTTTCAAGATTGTTGGGATGTGGTGAAAGATGATTTAATGAATGTCTACAAGGAGTTTTATAAGAATGGTGTGGTGAATGCGAGTATTAATGCAACTTTTATTTATTTGATCTCGAAAAAACATAATTTGCTGAAATTTGGGAATTTTAGACCTAAAAGTTTGGCTACTAGTTTATATAAGATTCTTGCAAATGTGTTTTTAATGAAATAAGGGAGATTTTAGGAAATACAATTTCTTGAAATCAGAGTGATTTTGTTATAGGGAGACAAATTTTGGATAGAGCTTTGGTGGCTAATGAAGTGGTTAAAGAGAATACAGCAAAAGGTAAGGAAAGGGTTATTTTTAAGATTGATTTTAAAAAGGCTTAAGATCATGTAGATTGGAGTTTCTTGGACTTTGTTCTTAAAGTTATGGGTTTTGGGAGTAGATGGAGAATATGGATTGTGGGATGTTTATCTTCTATGAATGTTTCGATAGTTTTAAATGGTAAACCAATGGAAAGATTTAATGCTACTAGGGGGGTTGGTGGATAGAGGAAGGAAGTATAGTTTAGTGAAAGATTTCATAGAAAGTGATGATAGGATTAGTGTTTACTCATCTTCTATTTGCGGATGATACCATTTTGTTCGTATTAGGAGAAGAACAAAAATTTCTCAATTTTGTTGAGATTGTGAGTACTTTTAGCATGGTTTCGGGGTTCAAAGTAAATATGTCCAAGAATTTCATTGTGGCTATTGATGTACCCAAGAGTAAAGTTGAAGATTTGGCTAGGGGGTTGGGAAGTGAAGTGGGTGAGTGGCCATTAAAATACCTAAGACTTCTACTGAAAGGTAGTCCTTTGTCCTTCAATTTTTGGAACCCAATTGTGGAGAGAGTGCAAAAAAAGTTAGATGGTTAGAAAAAGACATGTTTGTCAATGCAAGGGAGACTTACCTTGCTCCAAGCAATTTTAGATAGTATTCCTACGTATTCTATGTCCCTCTTTAAAATGCCTAGAAACGTGGTTAAGATATTGAGGAGATGAGAGATTTTTTATGGAAAAGAAGTAGGGAAGGTAAGAAATATTATTTAGTAAGATGGGAAGTTATGGCAAAATCAAAACCAACTGGAGGATTGGCAATTGGCAACTTGATAAATAGAAATGTAGCTTTGTTGTGGCTTTGGAGGTTTTCATTGGAGTTTGATTCCTTATGGCATTCTATTATCAAAAGTAAGGGTGAAAGCCATTCCAATGGATAGGACTCTAATGTGGTGAATATACGATCTTTTTGTAATCCCTCGAAATCTCTCATGTGTTGGAATGATTGTAGAAAACATATCACTTTGAGAGAGGGAAATGGGGAGAAAATGCATTTTTGGGAGGATACTTGGAGTGGTGAGTCATCTTTTGCATCTTTGTTTCCTCGGCTCTATAAGTTATCGGGGTCCCATAATGCCTTTATGAAAAGTATGATTTTTACTTCTCCTTCTTCCCATGTGGGAGTGGAATTTCAAATTTTTTTTGTGATCTTAACAATCATGAAACATTGGAGCTAGCATCTCTTATTCTTTTGCTTAATTTGGTTTATTTGGATTCGACAATTAATGATAGAGGTCTAGTCTCTTGTTTTTTCTTGATACTTTTCTTGTGGCTCCTATTTTCAATATTTCATTGATGTTACTAACGATTCTTCTTTGAACTTCACTGGATTATTTGGAAGGCTAGAGTGTTCATTAAGGTGGTGGTGCCTTCTTGGATGATTGCTCATGGTAAGGTGAACACATGTGACTTGTTGCAACAAAAAAAAAAAAAAAAAAACCTAACAGATATATCTTTCCCCTAATTGGTGTGTTTTGTGTAAAGAAAGTGGTGAAAATATTGATCATTTGTTCTTTCATTGCTCTACAGCTATGTATTTGTGGCATAAGCTATTGCGCGAACTGGAATTAATGTGGGTTATTGTGTATCTCTATTTGCAGTGTGTTTCCAAAGCTTTGGGAGTGGAAAAAAAAAACATCAACGATATGGAGATGTGCATTTATGGTCATTATTTGGGTGGTATGGATAGAGAGAGGAATCACATAATTTTTGAAGGTAAGGCAAGAGTAAAGAGAGTTGTTATGGGATAGAGTGAAGTTTTTAGCATCTCCTTGGGCAGCGGTGGTTTAAATAGAGTTTGGAAACACTTCTTTTTCAGTTTTACAACATAATTCAAAAAGCCACATGAAAGAGATCGAAAAGGGACTGGATGAGCTTAAATTTCAGAATTGAATTTTATTATTTGTTTTAGTATTATTTAATTAGTTAGGGAATATTTGTTTGACTAGGAGTATTAATTAGAGTTTGATTAGAGAATTATTATAGAATTTTAGTAGAATAGGAATTTGAGAGTTTGATCATGAAACTCTTTTAATATTTTAGTAGGAAAATAGTTTTTATTTTGATAGGGACTTGGCCTATAAATAATGGTGTAATCCCAACTATTTTTAATTAGAGAGATTATGAATAAGAATTGAGTATTCTCTGCGGAGATTTATGTGTTACTTCATCGATTCCTTGCGAGGATAAGGTAAACCCTTCCACCCCCTCTTCTTTCTTCTTCTCTTTCTATTCTGTAATTTCTAGTCCTTCCCGATCTACATCACCGCATCTAGCTAAGTTTGTTTTATTTTATCCTTTTATCTTTTTGTTTTTAGGGTGGATTTCTTATCCGCCTTTTATGTACTTTATATACTTTTTATGAAATGAAAATTTTCTTTCTTATCAAAATAAAAAAACAATGTGACAATGTAGATTTCTAGTAGTCCTAGGTTGTGATGAAGAAGAAAAAAAGAAAGACATAAAAACACATAGAAGTGCACACAATCATACTTGAAGGATTAAACTTTTAGGATTGACATAGAAGGATGAGAGCATCTGCCAATCAAGTTTGAAGCAGAAATGTGATCAAAATTTTACGATAATAGTAAAAAAGAAGATTATTTTGGTTTCCACCCAATTCTAACCTTTGTCCCAAGGAAAGAATATGACGTAATAAAGTAACAACTTAGCTCCAACTTTGAGTTCACGAAGTAACTACATACAATGAAAAGATCTCTAGAAGAAGCAAAGCTAGAATGGTATACAATGTAGAGACATAATGAAATAAAGCTTCCACATTAAGGATTTATAAAAGAGATTCAAACAAACCAGATCAGACAGAGTAGGATTTTTAATAATATTCTCCAGCCGCTCCCCATGGGCAGTACCAATAAGCATGACTCCTCTCTCAGCAATCGAACGACAAGCATGAGCTTCAGCCACTGTGCCTATCTCATCAACGATTATCACCTCAGGCATGTGATTCTCCACTGCCTCAATCATGATTCTATGCTGCATGGATGGTTCTGGAACCTGCATCCTTCGGGAACCCCCTACTGCTGGGTGCGCAATATCACCATCACCACCTATCTCATTGCTAGTATCAACAATGACCTATTAGGTTATCAGAATAGTCAGCACAGTGATGATCCAATTTCTGTCACAAGAAGACAAACATGAGAGATTGAAAGATCGAAACAATAGTAGATATACAGATACATAGATATACATATGCAGATAGAGAGAGTAATGCAATGCTGTTAAAACTCAACCAACCACTCTTTTCTGAAACTCATCCGAGAGGACACGAGAAATCTCTCTCATTACTGTAGTTTTACCTACACCAGGCCTGTTAAATTCAGAAGAAGTTAATTAAAGAAAGAAGAGGAAAAAAAACAACTGCAGGTTACACTATCCTACTCATTGCATTTTGAAGTGTTGGCATGTAGAAATTAAACAGATTATACCTACTAAAATTCAGTGATTACTCTACAACAAAATAGGTCACAAGAAGATTGCCTCATGAGCTGTGAACTGATATCTCTAAGAACACAATAAAGAAAAGGCCAACCAGTGGTCATCATGATAACAAAATCCACTATCCAGATCATTTGGAATCATGCCTAGCTTGATTGCATACATCACAGTAGGAGTGCTCAACCGACCTTTAGGGTCGAAAGTGGCAACTTCCACCAATAGAACCGATTGTTCTCGGAAGTAGAAAAGTTGAACCGAACCGAACCGTTTGGATAATACAACCGAGCTGATAACCGACCATGTTTGTCGGTCGGGTTTTGGTTCGGTTATCGGGCGAGCTTGAATTTCATTGATGCAAGACCACACAGAGATAGACAACATAAAGATATATGAGCAAGACAAAAAAAAAACTACAGAGCAAGACGACCACAAAAAAAAAAAAATGAAATCAATGCATAGAGAGATTATCAGAGAGCTGTTAAAAAAAAAATATATATATATATATCAGTCAATGAGGACTAACACGATTTGCTCGATGTAGTTGCAGGTGTTTTAGGATCAATCATCAATGGATGTAGAGGAGGAAGTTTAGAGTTTTGTTAGAGAGAGAGAGAGAGAGAAGAGGAGTGGGGGTAAGTGAAACAGAGGCAGAGATCCTGTTCTGTCTTTAGGGTTTGGAACCCTTTGATGCTTTTATATTTATGTTTTTTTTAAAGGATAAATCCAGAATATATTAACAGTATATATATTTTTTATATTATTAATTACTAAAAGTTGGGCAGTTCATGTGATTCGGGTTTTGACTTGCTCCCACCTGTCAACCAAACCGATGTAATCAGGTATTCTTGCCTCACTTCCGCAAATCGAACCATTTGGAACTTTAGATCACTACCCGCCCATTTGCTTTCAGTAGGGCTGGTTAATCGGTTAAACAGGTAATTTGAACAGCCCTACATCACAGAGGCATAACCTGTCAATTTTATCATAGAATAGCTTCAGACTGGTCATATTGTCACAATTGAGCTATAAGGAAACTAGCATTCTCATTATGTCTGTGAAGGCTATTTTTCCAAAAATTTGTTTATTTGTCCAAAAAACTTAAGATAGTCTTGCATCATTGACATCTGTGCTTGAACTTGGAGGGGCAAAAAGGAGAGTCAAGCGCTTCCAAAGGAAAGTCAGAGAAGACTGAACTCTTGAAGAAAGAAGGAAATCAGCAGAGCAAAAGGAAATGGAGAAGATTGAAGAGAGATCACTGGAAGAATCGAGAAATGAGAACTTGAAGGAAAAGTGGGTTGCGAAGAATAAGTGCATTCAGAAAGTTCGGCAGAAATTGAAAATCGTCATTTTGATATATATGAAGTATGAAGTGATATTCTTTCTATAAGGGACGATGAAAAGATTTTAAACTTTAAAAATATTGTGGAGGCATTTGGTTTGGTTTCGAGTTTGAAGGTGAATATGGACAGTGAAGAATTTGAGTCCGAATCTAAAGTGGTGACTTCAGACAATGAAGCTGGGGATTTCTCTGATAAGGAAAATTCCATGGTCCAATGATCCAAGAATCTCAACCAATTTTGAGATTCCTCCTATGCCAATACAATTTTGAGAATAGGAAGAGTTGAAAATTAAATAATTGGACATTAAGGTTTAGGGAATGAAAGAGAAGAAGAAGAAGAAAAAAGAGATTTTTGAAACAAAATTCTAAGTAGGATGTGTATTGCCTATGCCATATTACCTATTTATATTAGACTATTTAAAAAATTTGTAATAGTGAGAGCGAACCAAATAAGTGTACTAAAATAAACTACCACCTGAAATACCGTACCAATTAAGTCTACCCCCAACGCACTGCTTACCGGAGAAACTATTGTACCGTACACATACTATCAAAGAAACCATACCCACTGCATAAGCAATATCTAATCAAGTATAAAAGAGATAAATCAATCTTCCCACTAATCTTTGGTAGCTCTCCTTATCTACTACATCACTATTACCACCATTCAATCGATGTTTAGCTTCAGTAGGAGAATATGTAGGAGTACAGCCTATCATGCTTGAGACGTTATTGTCACGTAAAAAGGAGAGCCCTTTTTTTGATTTGAGACGTTAACCCTAATTGTTCTATCACATTCCAACTTCAAAAGAAATAGAGAGGTGTCATTGTCTTCTCTCTTATCTATATGTCTCAATGTTTCTATCTCAAATAAGACCAAAACAAATAGGGCAAAAAATCATAGACAAATCAATTATGACGATGAAGATTGCGAATCCTTTGCTACAAAGGTGCAAAATCTATTAGATTGCGATGACGATTGCAATGGTGGTGCGAAATCATCATGAATCTTCTCAAAGTGTACAATACAAGTATGTATTCTACCCTCTTTGTCAGTCTAACTTCTTGAATATGCTATATGTTGGTTGTCTAGCGTGGTTTTTTTTTAGGGATTTTTGGAACATTTTGGGATTAGGATTGGGATTATAGTATGGCATGGGTTGTTTGGAAACTAGGGTTCAACATGGGTCAATATTTTAGGTGATCTGAATCGTGAACTCACTTGTTTGGGGTTGTCCTACCCCGATCGAGGGTCGTTTATGAGTTTGGCAAACTTGGTAGCACTAGATTATCATATTTTGAGATATCTTAAATCCAAGGATCGAAATTTTGTTTCGAAGTACCGTTTCGGTCAGCTCAAAAACGGAAACGTTTCGGAAACGTAATGGAAACACAAAAAAAATATGGAAATGCATGGAACACAAATACAACCCATTAATTTATAAAGATAAGCTAAATAATTGATTAATTCAACATATTTATTGGGTTAACATCCATTTATACAAGAATAAATTTAAATTGGAGGAAAAAAAATGCTTGCCATGAGGTGAAAATCACTTAAATTAGTTTCAAACACTTAATTTTCATCAAATAAACACATTTTACATAATATTAAGGTCTCATAATACACATGAAATGCTAATGAGTACATACTTAAATGGCTACATTAAATGTAATTACATGTAATTATAATAGAGTATTAAATATAATTATAATAGGGTATTAAATATAATTATATTGGGTATTAACTATTAAATGTAATTACAATAGGGTATTAAATGTAATTACAATAGGATATTAAATATAATTACAGTGAGTATTAACTATTAAATGTAATTATAATAAAGTATTAAATGTAATTACAATAGGTATTAACTATTAAATATAATTACAATAGGGTATTAAATGTAATTACAATAGGGTATTAAAAATAGCTACAATGGGTATTAACTATTAAATCTAATTACAATAGGGTATTAAATATAATTATAGAGGGGTATTAAATATAATTAACTTATCAAAACAAAATATATATATATATATATATATTAAAGGTAGAAGACACACAGTATAGACCCACAAGGACTCTGTCTAAGAGGCGAGAGGCGAAAGAGAGGAGGCCAATGACCCAAAAGAGAGAGAGAGAGAGAGAGAAGAAGAAGAACTTACTGGTGGTCCGGTGGTTGCTTGTGGTCGGTGGTAGCTCACAGCAATGAAGACAACTCCCAAGCCCTAGATCTGGTGAAAAATGGTTGGATCTACTCAAGGAGGTAAGTTACTGAATCTTTCTCCTTCAATTTTTGGTCTATAGTCTCTGTCTCTGTCCCTTCAATTGCCTTTCTCTCTCTTTTTTCTCTGTTTTTTTTTTTTTTTGGGCTTGGAAGACCTGAACGACATGTGATTTCTGAGGTTAGAGGACCTGTGAATTCTGACTTACTTGTGGAATCTTTAGCTTTCTTAGAGTTTCTTTTTTTTTTCTTTTGGCTTGAAGCGAATCTTTAGCTTTTTGTGATCACTGTTTTCTCGAAACTGTACTGTTTCGACCAAAACGGTAATGTTTCTACGAAAACGGTCCGACACAGTAACGTTTCGACCGAAACTTCAGAATTTTTGGATTCAACTTATGTTTCGTATCGGTGTGTTGAAATTCCAAAACGTTTCGGACGTTTCGACATGACATTTAGATCCTTGCTTAAATCAACTCCAAGAAAAGGAATCTTGTTCTCCAAACATGGTCACTTAAAGTTAGAAGCATTTAATGATGCAACTAGGTCGATTCAGTGGATCACTGACATTCTACTTCAGGCTATTACACATTTATAGGAGGGAATCTTATCATTTGACAGAGCAAAAATAAATCAATGGTAACTAAATCTAATATAGAGGTTGAATACACTGCAATGACTTGAGAAATTCGTGAGCTTCTCATGGAATTCGTGAGCTTATGTGGCTCCAAATCTTAGTGGGAGAGCTAGGAATTCACGATGACGAACCGAAGACTATATTGTGACAACAAGACTATTAAGAGTATTAGAGTATTATTATGTAAATGGTGGTTGTAATAAGTATAGGCTAGCCAGAATAAATTGTAGGATATATAGATGTGAATATATATATATATAGATATCATATATCATATGGTACATATATCTATATGATAAAACACATAGGAAGTTGAATTTTATCTCCTACATATTTTTTCCCATAAAAAAAAACACATCATCCAATTTTATCACATGTTTAATTATTTAATATTAGATTAATTTATAGTTTAACATAATTTTTATTTCATTCTTTGTCCATATACGATAGTATATACATGTTGAAAAAATTTTGTATGAATATACATTTTGAGAACATTGACGCTATTTTTTAGAAAATATTATGTAGAAATTAATTTTAAATGAACAAAAAAAAATTTGTTATTTAGTATAATAGAATCAATTTTTTGAAAGCTCAAATCTTATGTTTCATCATGCCTTTAGATACGAGGTATGACTAATATATATAAATGCTGAGACTTAGTGGGTTTCTAGATATAGGGTGTCTATATATATAGACATGCAAGAGTATAACTAGATATATGGTATATACGTATATGCATGCAATGATGAAGGAGATTCTCCACTAAAGAGAGTTTGTGGAGGTAATTGAGGAGCGGCGGCTAAGGAGGGGGAAAGAGTGGCCATTCCACTAGTGCATGTGGAAAAAATATAAAGGGGATGAAATAAAAAAAAAAAAGACTCTCTTGCAAGTCTTGACTAAGGAAAAAAAGAAAGGAAAGGAAAGGAAAAGAAAAAAAAAACAAAGACCAAGACTCTCTCTATTCTTAGAAGTTTTGGCTAAGCAAGGAAGGAAAAAAAAAAGAATAAGCTCTCCACAGTCCACACTTAGGAAAATTTTGGCCATTGCTAGGAGGTGAAGGGTGGAAGACTAGAGGCGGTGCTTGGTAGTATAGGAAGTGAGGTAAGTCATGTAACCTACTCTCCTCCAAAATGTATAGATACATCTCTACTATATGTATTTTAGGCATTGCATATGCATAAATTATAGTGTTTTGTATGTATTTTGGGTATTGGATGTGTGAAAGGGTGATGTTTGGTATGAATTTTGGGTAATGCTTGAAGGATTCAATAATGCTTGTGTGGGTGTGTAAGCAAAATTAGTGTTGTTACATGAAAAATAAAAAGCCTGGGATTGTTGTATGTGGGATAAATTTTGGTCAAGAGAGATAATAGTTTCGTGGGTAATTTATAAATCTTATGGATTGTTCTTGAATTCTCATGAAATCTGTGGGTATGAGTAAATATAAGAAAACATGTAATTTTATGATTTTGTAGAAAATTATGCACATTCAAGTGTATTTTTTAAAATTTTATAACTTTATGAGAAAGGTTTAATTTGAGAGTACTTGGCTCAAATAAATAAATATTGTTTTAACGAATTCAAGAAGACTAGCTCAAATCAATCGAGTAGATAATTATACTCGATACAAATGGATTACTTCACTTGATTTGAATCGATTATTAAACTACTAGTTTAGTCGATTCGAGTAGATAATATTACTCAGTGTAAATGAATTATTTCATTTGACAAGATATAATTACTAAACTTGGTTCGAATAAACCAATTCGAGTTCAAGCGGTATTATTTATTAATACTCGAGTGGAATTGTAAATATTAGGTGCTAGGTCCGGAAACAAGTACTGCAAAGAACACAGCACAAAAAGCTCCGCCGGAGGAATCATCTACGAGATAGGACTTTCTGCAAGGTAGGTGCGCTAACCAAGGATTGAAATATCGTGTCGACACGTTCGAAACTTCCGAAACGTTGCGGATTTTCCACACACCGACACGAAACAAGGGTGGAAAACTAAAATTCCTGCGTTTCGAGCGAAATGTTACTGTTTCAGACTGTTTTGATCAAAACAGTAATGTTTCGGTCAAAACAGGGACTTGATTCGACTTGCAGTGTCCGGACTCCAGACTCCTTCAGCCAAAAAGGGGAGAACTTCTTCCCCTTTGACAGCTTCTCCAACAAAATAGAAGAGAGAGAGATAGACAGAAGAGACAAGCTCAAAAATCGAAAGTAGTAGATGACTTACCAACTTACAAGGGGTCGTCCTCGCGTCCAAATCCAACCTCTTCCAGGTACAATTTTATTCTTTTCTCTTCTTCTCTACCGGTGGCTAGTGATGGGTCTTCATCGATTTGTCTTCTCGCTCTTCATTGATCAGTCTTCATCGATCGGAGTCTCAGATCTTCTTTCTCTCACAGTTGATCCGAGTCTTGATCTTCTCTCTCTCTCTGTATGGTCTGTGCAATTGGAATGAAGGGGTCACCAATTCACTGTTTGCCCTTTTTATTTTATTTCAATTAACATAAATGTCATTTCAGCCCCCATTTTTTCCTTTGTAGTTGTTAATAGCCCTTATAATTAATAAATAATTTATTATTGTTAATTAACTTATCAAAATAACTGCAATTAATTTTATGGTATATTTAATATCTAAAATTAAGTATTTATGTTTGTAAAAATTATTCATGTAATATTTTTAATATTAATGAAATAATTACTTAGTAATTTGATGACACAATTTAAATAAGTAATTTAGTATTATAATAACATGCAAATAATAAATTTGTACTCATTTTAATTTAAAAGTGTTATACATGTCATATTTAATTTAAAATGGTCATATATACATGTAAAAATGTATTTGTTTTATAAAAATTAATTGTTTAAAACTAATTGAAATAATTTCCGCCTCGTGTCAAACCTCTTTTTTTTGCCTCAAACTTGATGTTATCTTATATAAATTGGCATTAACCCAATAAACATGCTCAATTAATCAATTATTAAGCTTATCTTTACAAATAAATAGATTGTATTTGTATTTCCACGTGTTTCCATATTTTGTTCGTGTTTCCATTACGTTTCCGAAATGTTTCTGTTTTCGGGCTGACCAAAACGGTACTTCGAAACGAAATTTCGATCATTTGTGCTAACTTACATAGGATAAGTTTTTTGACCACTCTAATATTGTGTTAATTCTCTAAACTTAACAAAGACTATCAACATTGCTCAAAATCCACTTCAACATGATAGAATCAAACATATTGAGATTGATTGGCACTTCATCAAAGGAAAGTTCAACAAAGGGTTTAATTTGCATCCTCTTTGTTGAAATCAGAAAATCAGTTGACTGATGTTTTCATTAATGGAGCTTAGTAGAAGATTTTTCACCCCATTGTTTGCAAGTTGAACATGAGAATATCTATGCACCAACTTTAGGAGTATTATGATATGCTTTATTTGTTTGGGCTTAAGGGTATTTTTGTACTTGGTATTTATATAAAAGCTGGGGTAACAACAGTGGGCTAAAGCATTAAATTCAGCATATGAGAAATGTTTGTAATAAGAAATGTTTACAACTCAGTGTCATAACAGGAAATAAAGGTAAGCATCTAGCAACTAATACTATTGTGTTATTGAAATATCAAACAAAATCATAATGCAGATTTCTTGATAAGATACTCAAAATGCAAGTAAAATTATCTCAAATCCAAATAGTTACAAAGCAGAAGCATTTTAATGCCCTATAAAACCAATTGCTTTCATTTTTCCTTGTAGATGACAGTGACAACAGAATTCCTTTAGTATGTTGGGGGCCTTCAGGCATAGGTTGTATCACAGGGTCATTCACTGAGGAGCATGAATGTAGTCTAATGTGAAATTAATTTGCTCACCTTCCAACAAACAAGATGCTTTTCCCAAAATCAAGCAGATCTCGTACCATGTCAATACTACCCCTAACTGCCCTGCCAACTCGACAAGTTAAGCCAGTAATTTCACCTTTCCTACTTCTGATTGCTGAAATCCGGTGCAAGGTACCCGTAATGCCAGCTCTATTATCAGCTCCGAATTCTCCAATTGCATTTTGAGCAAACTCCAACTCTTTCATTGATACCTGGGTAATAAATATGCCTCGAATTAATCACTAAATAATCTTCATGCACCAATAGTTTATATTGCTTTCCATTCCTTTGTATAATAGTTCCAATATGAAAAATTATAAAATCTAAAATAACCTTGAAGAATGAAAAGAAATGAAAATTCCTGAATTAAGTCAGAAAAAAAATAATTTTTGTGATTCACTGACAAAAAGGAAAATGCTGTACCAACTTAAAAGTGTTTACCTCGGTATCTCTCAAGTACTGCTCTCCAGAATCACCAAGGTAGCGTGCTTCTGGTAACCGACCCAAATCCAAGATCACCTATTGAAACAGTAATGATCAATTATTATGCAATATAAGACCAACAACCAAGCAAAATAGTTTGGAAGAATCATAATATTTCTTGATGATGCACTTTAAAAGAACTCTAATCCATCAAAAGAAGAACACTCCAGACTGACTTTAAATGACACTATCGTTCAATTTAACCAGTGTCAACTCCCATGTGAATCAAACCCAAGTAGACATGTTAATGTGATAATGCATACTGGAATTTTTATCATTAAACATTTAATAACTCTAATTACCTCTATAGAACTAAAACTGGAAATTTAGTCTCCAAATACAAATTAATCTCTCAGTTTAAACATTGTAAAATTTATGTTATTATTTGTCAATCTCCAATTCTTCAAATATTCCAATCCTGATCTCTCCCCGAAAACCAAAAAAGTATTAAGCATGGAAATATACAATACAATAGAAAATAATATGCTCAGAATAATATTAATATAAGCATCAAATCAAACTGACAATTTAACTAAGTGCGCAACACAAGTCAAATAGGACCTCAATAGGATACAATCGTCAACTAAATCGTACTCCATGTATCACACGCCATGAGAGACCAAGACACAGACCTGGCACCTCACCAAAAAACCCACTTCAACTCGATCCCACGAGTCTCTTAGACTGGTGATGCATTAGACTTTCGACAACCATGATCCAATCCTTAATCCACACAACCCACAATCAACATACTCACAATACCAATAGAAATTCAATAAGATTTTAATAGTTGAATCGAAGGCAATATAAATGGGGAATAATCAAGAAATTACTCTTAGCAAAAAGATTCAAGACAAAGCATATTGAAAGTCATACCGTAAATCAGATAACAAAGCACCAATTGATTCTTGACTCAATCTCAAAGATTCTCGTTGATTTTTCCCTCCTATTTTCTTTTATTGTTTTTCCTCTCCTTTTATTAACCACTAGCTGCCACCTCCTTTTTATACCATTCCTTCACACGTTAAACATACACACACACACACACACTATACTATGTCACCCACTTTGGACAAGTGTCCCACAAGTGCTTTTTTTTTTTTTTTTTTTTGTTTATTCTTATCTCATGCACCTACATTGGAGACATGCGTCACCATGACTAACCCAAGTTTATTCAAATAATTTTTATGTTCTCTCATATATTACAAGTATTTTGTGACGCCCAAAAATAACATTCTTCCAGTTTTGATAATAAAAATTTGCCCATTCAATTTTTTAGTTTTTTTCCTTGATGTTATATACTCCCTTCTTAAAAATTGTCCTCCAAATGGGCAATCAGCAAGCTAAATGCTTCTGCCAGTATTGCATTACTACTTCCATAATCTGATCATCCTACGCAATTAAACTAGGAAAGTCTACAAAATTTCAAACACATGCTTTGATACTATACTATAACGCTATGATTTTCTTGAAACGTTTTGTGGTGAAATATCAAAAATTATAACTCCAGGTATAAACTTTCGCACTTTAATTATAGGCTAAACAATGAAAATAATATTAGGTTTAGAGAAGGCACAAGCAAGAGGAGAAAGAAGGTAGAGTGGACAGAAAGAATAATCCGTGTGTTTTGGTTGTGTTGCCCTACACCCGGGGGCGGAGCTAGAAAATTATTTCAGGGTGAGCACTGTATATTTTAACAAGCTTAATTTTTTTCTTGTAATTGATAAAAATAGAATAACGCATTTATATTTAATTATATCCTATTTAATACTTAAAATTTTATTAAACTTAAAAGACTAAAATTGCTAAATATAGTAGATACAAATGTCAAAATATATATGTATATATATATACACATCATTTTACCAAACAAAGGCTAATTAAAACTATTTAAAATTGACTTTGATGTATACATTAAAAGTCTTGCATTAACGTTATTATTATTTATATTCCCAATCATATTATCACTTGGCTATTTATCATTCATTCGATTACACAATAAAATATATTCTCTATCATGTCGGTGATAATTACTAAAATAAATGCTAAAATTTTAAGTAAACTCATGGATATATCATGCATTTTCTAGTCTTGATTGAAAAATAGAGTGGGCACAATTTAATATATTGAAAAAATACTTAAAATATATACAATTAATTTTAGAAAAAAAAAATTTGAGGGTGAGCATATGCCCCCCTTGGCATAAGGTGGCTCCGCCCCCGCCTACACCTTATTTAAAACAAATTAATATTGCAGGTAATTACAATATTGCCCTAAACTACTAATAACAGAAATAACAAACTCTAACAATCCCCCTCAAGCTGGAGCATAAAAATCTAAGATGCCCAACTTGTGTAAACCCCCACATTTTTATCTTTATATAACAACGTAATTATGTTTTGAAATGCTATTATATGTAATGATGTATGCATGAAATATGTAAATTGTAGGAGTAGAAATAAAAATGTTAGTTGAGGTAATAGGGTATGTGATAGAAGTTTGGAAGTATGTCGGAGTTTAAATACATTTTAGATAAAAATTGGGTAGAAATGATTTTGGACACTGCCTAGTATTTGGATCATAACTTTTTATCCTGACGTCTATTTTATCTGAAATTTTTACAGTAGATAGTAGACTTCTAGAGTTACAAAAGTGTGTTTCACAAAAAAATTTCAGATCGATCTCTAAATAGGCCAAAACTTCACTGGAAGTTCCAGCAGAAACTGGGAAGACGTTCGAACGTGAATGGACGTTCGAATGACAGTGAGTTCCAGTACTTTGGTGTATGCAAAGCTCTAATAGAAATGCAAAAGTACTGGAAGCAACCAACGTTCAAACGCCAAAGTGACGTTCGAACGTGAGTCAATAATTTGCACTATTGACGTTCAAACGCCAAATGACGTTCGAACATGAGTTACGAAATCTGAATTTCAGAATCGCGCACAGGACACCGTTTCTTCCCCTATAAATACATAAAGACTCCTCCATTAACCCCATTTCAACATTTATAACCCTAGGAAGTCTCAGAAAGGAAGAAAGAAGGAGAAAAACACAAGATCAAGGAAGATTTTCATATTGAAGTGGATCAAATCTCAAGTTATTCACCTAAAACTAAAGAAGAAGGTAAGGGTTTTCTTCCACTCTTATTCATTGATGTTAGGGCTTATATATACATATGTTTTGACTCTTAATCATATATATTTGTTATGAAATACTTGTTTCTTGATGTTCTTGCAAACCTTACCATATTTTGAAGGAATTTATGGTTTGATAACCATAGAAATTCATGTTCTTGATGTCAAAACCTAGTTTTGAGAAAAATAAATTTTTCTTCTTGATATTCTTTTGTTCATGATTCAAAAACTCTGGTGCTTTGCTTGGAACAATAAAAGTCTATCTTTGGATGATCTCTTGCTTATTTTTTGAATTGTTATGTTGGAAAAATATCTATGGAATTGGGGGTTTATGATTTACTTGTGATTTGGAAAAATACTTATGAAATTGAGGATTTTGAATTTACTTGTGATTTGAGAAAATAATTGGTATTGCATCTCTTGTATGGTTGTTATTATAGACTTGAATTGCCTTCGAGAACTGTCGTACAGTGTTAGAGGTTAGTCTACCCCAGTGGGGGTGAGATTGTTGCCTAACACTTGTAGTGAATTGTTATTTGTGAGAGCAACCACTATTGTTCACGTAAATTTAAGGCTGAAGAATGATATACTTTTCCTTAGAAGGATCGTCAATACTGTGGGAGACGGTATACGCCCTTCTTAAAGTGGTTTGTGTGGATATGATAGGAAAACGAGGTAAATTTGTCATGTAGATTCATGGAAAATAACCAACATACATGAGAATATGGGATGATGCTTTTGAATGATTAATTGATTTCTTCAATTCTAACATGTTCATTTGTTTCATTTAACTTATTGTTGTTGCGGTAACTTGAAATCGAATAAATTGTCACTATTTTATTTCAAATTATATATGATATTTTTGAAAGTGAGACTGAACTGTTTTATATGTTTTCTAAACCTTGTTCGAGTTTGGGTGGATGTTGCTTCGGAGCTTAGTACTCACCCCTTACAAACAATATTTTTTCTCAAATTTCGGTTTAGAGGAAGAACTCAGAGGTGATGAACAGGTAGCTTAGGAAGCGCAAATGGATAGAAGCGTGGATCCTAAGGGGAATGTCTAGAGTTGATCTCTCCATGCCCTAGTGATGTTTGACAACTTTGTAAAATAAAAATAGGGACTGTTTAGGGGCTGTGAACAGTACTAGTGAACAGTAATGGGAATGTGAACAGTAATTTTGGCTAGTAATCACTCCTAGGGTTCCGTAGGCATCACACCTAGGGTTAGAATTGCATCACACAACTCAAAAAATATGTAATTACTGAAAATTCTAAATGTCTCTCTTTCTCTATTATTAAAAGTAACACTAACTATATATAGAGTTCTAAGTAATTCTAATCCCAAAAGATTGGGATTCCAAAGTCTCTAGAACTTCAAAGACACTAGGTCTCTACAAATTAGAAAACTAAAATTAACTAAAACTAAGACTTTATAAATTCTAAAATATTCAATACTAGAATTTGACTCAAAAATATGACCTATTCCATAAATTCTGAAAATTACAAAAATACCCCCGACACTAAAAAATATTAAAAGGACATATAAAATATTAATACTAGCAAATTAACTTAAAATAAAAATGCAAGGTTCTATATGAATCTTTGTCTTGATGGAAAGTCAATTTCATTATCTTTCACAGTTTCGAATTTGTGTTTCATTGAGCATCTTATGGACTGCATCATTCTCCCCTGGTTGGAGAAAACTCGACCTCGAGTTTTAAAGTGTTGCAGTATGAAAGTCCAAAAACTTGAACTTGTATGCGTAGCTGTCTCTGAGAAGCGTTAAGATGATGTCTCCTTTTCTTCTCTAATAGAGGGAACAAAGAAAAAATTTGAAAAGATCCCCTTGATTGTGTCGTTGAAATTTTCTGGAATGATAACATCAATTGGTAGAGCAAAGTGGATAGAAAGAAGCATTGGTGACTCTTAATGTAGATCCTTGAAAGATGCAAATAAATCAAGCTCTTGGAACATCATTGTTGGTGGTTGAAAGTCATTAATGGGAACAATTTCACCAAGCAACACTTTTAGCACTATTTCAGAGCTCTTAGGTAGTAACATACTCATCTCTAAAGGCTCATTTGATTCAATACTAGTTACTGGATTTTCCATCTTGTCAGGCTCCACAACAAAAAAATTGTCTGGATATTAACTTTTTACCTTAGCCTTTGGACAAGTAGCGTAGTTGCTTGGGATTGTATTGATTCTTCTACTTGATTTCCTTCTTCTTGAATTATTCGATCAGTTGTTGCTTTGGGCTGCTTTTGATGTCTTCTCTAGTTGCACATTAGAATCTAAATAACATTGAATTTCACCCTTTTGCGAAGACAAAACCCTTGATGTACTTACTTGGTGAAGGAAATTTAGGTACATCTCCATACCAAGTGCCACTTGGAATGCATGCTCTACGTTGTATAGTGGCTACCCAAGTATTTCTGCCTTTATATTTGCTCTTCAACCAACCTTGAATCGAGCAATTGTTTGGCAAGGTTCTTCTACGATATGGTTTTTCAACATTAGGTCTTCGAATCTTTGAATATACTCTATAAAAGATAGGTTATCTTGTTGCAGATTAATAAGTTGTTTGCACAACTAGCTACTATAGTTTGAGGGCATAAACCTCTGTTGAATCTTAGCTTTCATCTTTTGCCAAGTGTTTATAGGAGGTTGTCCCAATCTTTTTATATCTCCTTCAACACCAAACCACCAAATTTTTGTCAAGCCTACAAGTTTCATCTTGGCAAGTCTTACTCTCCTATTATCTGAGAAATTATACCTAACAAAATAGTTCTCCATAAAAACAAGCCAACTAAAGAATATTGTAGAATCATCTCTTCCATCAAAATCTTGGATCTCCATCATCATATATCAATATTTAA